GCGTGAAAGTGGAACGGCAAGTACATCAAGATGCGCGCTGTGAAATGGCCGCCTGTTGCCGCGAAAGGCCTTCAGCCCCATCCGTCCAATGGTTGTCAACTCCGTCAGTCTCGCAAAGCGCTTCGGATTGCGAAGCAGGCCCTTGGGTTCACAGCTGCAATACGAGAGTTGGGCTTGGAGTATTCTGCAGATGGCTGAGGGCCTCCTGGCCAACAGTGAGCCTTGTCCGTCTTTTTGTCCTTTTCCATTTTTGCATTTGTGTTGCTCCTGCTGCTGCTGCTTCTGCTACTGCAGCGTTTTTCGTTTGCTAGTGTCATGCCGCAGGTCACTACGTTGCGCGTCAGCCCGCGTGTGATAAATTACTCGCTTGCAAAGGTTGTTTTTCAAAGCGGTTTAACCGGCGCCCCCGCGCTTTTTTGCCGCACGCCCAGGATGAAGCAGCGCTGGCGCGGAGTCGAGCCGCTGCCCGCGAGCTGCAGCGAAGCCCACCCCCGATCCAGGTTCCTTCACCCGGCAAGTGATCTGCTCCAAGGACGATCTTGCCAAAATGAGAAAGACAGCTTCACTCGAAGCGCCACGCGCCCTTGCTGTGTCAAACTTGCTCACTAACTAACTGTGCTCAGACCATTCTTGATAATGCCAACATTTGACAATTGCTTTGCAAAGCCTTGCGTCTGCCCGCGCGACATTTCAATTGCCCGTCGGCCTTTCAGCGGGCGCAACCAGCTCTTTGTCGAACATGGTCTGGGGCATGGGCAAGCATGCAACCAATTGGACGTCGCATGTCCCCAGCGCGCCAGAGGCTGGATCAGCAAGGCCATCGCCCCAAAACAAATCTGCGCGTTGAGTGGAATCGCTGCCTTTGCCGCCAACCAGTCCAGGAGCGCGACGTCGTCTGCAGTGAGGTCATGGCTGATCTCCAAAGACTGTTTGATGGGAAGTTGGCGAGGAATCACCCAATCCAGCACCTCTCTCCTTGCCTTGGAACGTGCAAGTTGGATGCAAATGGAACAGCCAGTTTACGAGGAATTTACAATGGTTCCTCAACCGTCTGGCAAAGCAGGCAAAGCAGGAGGCTCTGGAAATTGCTTCCATGGGCAGTCTTGCCCTCTCAAGGCCACGCGGATGTTGGCATAGTCAACGGCGCACCCGACAAACCTCTCAACGCCTGAAAGAGATTCCCACTGTTGCTGCCCAGGCCCATGCCCGAGCACTCTTCCGAAACACAGCTGCCCCTGATCAACCATTTGCTTGAAAGCATGAACATCCACTGAGGGCAGCAAGGCCAAGTGGCGCCTTCCGATGGAATCCACCGAGGTGGGGAAAGCAGTTGAAAGCTCCATCTCCAAATTTCCTTGAAAATGTCACCATGCTCTGAGATGCGAAAAAGTTCGCCCAGTTCTATACTGGATGAACCCCTTCCCCAAGTACAAAGCAGGCGACCCCCCAATGCACACACTCCTCTGAAAAACACAAACGCTATTAAACAGGAAAGTGCGGGGTTTCTTTTGCGGTCCTCGTCCAAATGGTTTCCAAGCCCGCGCTTGGTTCAACTATGGCTTTTTCGGAACTTGCGCAGCAAACATCGGTTTCTTGCAAAATTCCTGTTGGTTTTCACGTGTTTCAGTATTGGTTTTAGTCGTTTACCATTCGCTTAGTCACTTGGCGCTGGTGTGTTTTCACGCATTTGGTCTTGATTTGCTAGGCTCTGGGGCACCCTCAAAGCCTGAAGATTTCGGAATACATGGGCGCAAAATAGGAACCCTATTATTAAGGGGGAACACACGTGAGATCAACTGCTTGGGTGTCCCTAGTTCTTACGCACGGCATCGGTGTGTCATATTTTGGTATTGGCGGTTTGGGGATGTGGGGAATAATATTCAACACTAGGGGGCCTCTGCTGCAAGGGTGATGGCCGGTTGCGGAGTCGGGGAGCCTTGCGATCTTGGCCGTCTCCGGGCGTCTGACTCACGGCTAGCAAAGTTGTGTGCGCAGCAGTTCCTTGGCGGCGCGCATCCGCCTCAGGCGCCTCCTTAATCACCACCCAAGTCCTCGGCAACAGGCCAACAAAAAACAATCTTAGCGATATGCCAACCCACTGCGCACAGCAGCCATCCCGCTGCCAAACAACAAAAAGTTTACCATAGGCAACACACAAGGGCTCGAACTGACACGTCGCACGGCTCCGTCAACCTGCTCGTGTTCATTGTTGGGTGCGGATGGTCTGGGCTGCCCGTGCGCATCAGGCTACCGCGTGAAACAAGCGTGTGCTGAGGCCACATGTTAGACTGCTCTGCTAGGCAGGACGCTTGAGCGCGCGCGGCCTCAACTGCACAGCGGCGGCAGAGACAGGCAGGCGAACAAACTCAAGCAAGGCGTATCAAAGCACATCGCGGCTCAAAGGCTGGCACAAGATCGCCCGCCCGTTGAAGGTTTATAGGTTTCTTTCCCAGGGACAAGCAAATCAATCCCGAGATCGCAACTCACAACTACTCTGCGCCCCAGACGAACAACGATTGGGCAAAACCAGTGTTACACTGGCAGCGCGCGGTGCTATATTGGCTCCTGCAAAAGCGCTAAGATGCCGTCATAGTTTTATGCGTTTGCAAGCTCTTGCCAAACGAACTTGCGGGGAACACATATGGAGAACACTGTGTGTGCTGTGTTATGTTGTTCGACTTTGCACCAATAGCCCCAACAAGTTAGTAGTTCGTAATCAAGCGAAGCAAAGGTCATCAAAGGTTCCTCGCTCGTGACGGTTACTTCCAACATGGGTGTTTTCCACAACACGCAACAAGTTGAGGGTTGAGGTGCGCCCCGACAGAAAAATAGCACCTTCCAGCGCTTGAGGGGCTCAGACCTGCACCTTTTCGCGCGTTTTTGCACCTTTCGGTGCTTATTGTCATAGGCACCTTTCGGCGCGCGTTGCACCTTTTGGTGCTTATTTTAAGCACCTTTCGGTGCACTAGTTTAGTTAGACCCGCCCCAGCTGCAGCCGAGGTGTAGACTAAACCTCGGCAGGCCCCTGGCCGAAGAAGTTGAGGACGTCTTCTGACAAACAAGGTGCGTGCTGAAGCTATGATCGTGCCAGGACGTCATGCCAAACAAACCCAGAACTAGAACTGCTATCTAAAACATATGTTTGTGTATTTACCTTCAAGCAGCCCCATACCACAAGTATCATCATGCCTACTCCTAAGCAAGCCAACCTACAATGACTGTTTGCCCTGCCCCCCCTGCCACTGATGCACATGACTGATGTTGCGCTGACATGGTTTGGGGTGTGTAAAAAAGCGTTGAACGCTGCCGAACAATGAAAAGTGATCCCAGGCCCCCACATGTATGAACTGTTTGATCCACAAACCATGCTGGAGATTCTTTCGGGGGGCCTCTTTGGGGTGTTGAGGAAGTTGGGCATCCTCAGTGGGTTTGTGATGGGCTTTGCCCAGGGCAAGGCATGCGCTGAGATGTCTTGCAGTAGAAATGGTCAACTTCAACACTTCCACAGAATATCAAAATTTGTTGATGTAGCCGTCATGCACCAACTATTATTCAATATAATATTAAGTTAGTTTATACTGCAAAATTGGTTCCTATAAAGGTTATACATACATTACTACACATTTATGCATACAAACATAAAGGTTTGTATCCAAAAACCGTTGACAAGAAGTTATAATTCATTTTTCCTTTGCTTAAGATCGTCCTTTTCAAACCACAGAAAAACACAAATAGCCAGACAAAAAACCCAACTAGCCAGGCAAACCCTTGATGGCGCGGGCAAACATGGGGCAGGGGATATTGTTCTGCTGTCACAACCGTGTCGCGCCTGACTCTGCGATCAGTGATGCTTGGGCCAAAGCACGGGTGCCAGACGTGACAACAAGGGAGCACTTTTGGGACTAGAAGAACAAACAAAGCATTGCCTTCAGAACTTGACCGGCGCAAAGTCCAAGGATTTACAACAGCCTCACTCTCTCTCTCTCTCTATCTGTCTATCTATCTGTCTAAGCATCTACCTACCTATCTATCTATCAATCATTCTATCTATCTATCTATCTATCTATCTCTTCTGTCTTATAGGTATCTGCGTACCTACTTTTTTCAACTATGCATCTCTTCATACTTATCTTTATCTAACAACCTATCTCTCTATCTATAAATTTATCTGCCTCTCTATCGATCGACCCGACGAAAGTGTTGCACCTGCCGCGAAATCTGCACCTGCCCTTTCAAACGTGCTCTATGAAATTTGCACCTAGACCTGCGAAAGCGCAATGCCTGCCACAAAACCTGTACATCACCAAGGTGGTTGGCATCGACGCGGCAGGAGAGATATCCCCGGCTTTTCTGGGCTTCCCCCCGTGCGTGAGCTTAATTAAGGCGGAGACCCGGCACGCAGCGCTTGAACTATTGGCTTGCTGGGGCAGGTTTGCTAACTTCTGCAGGAGCCTTTGGCCACTACAGGGCGTGGGTGCAAGTTTTGGGCTGGTTTGGGTTGGTTGTGGGGTGTTGCCCCAAACAAACCACCAAACCTCAATATCCCTAAAGCAACCTCAAACCCTCCAACAGGATCCTGGACATCAGCCCTTTGCCAAGCCGAAACGAACCCCGAACAAGCTCAAGGCCCGCCTTCATTACAGTCGGACCTCAGCAAAAGCCCAGCACTCACCCGACACGCAGCTGGGTATATGGCCGCCCAACCGGCCAACCAACCAACCAACCAACCAGCCAACCAACCAACCAACCAACAAACCATGGACGCAGACCCGTCACAACTCGCAGAGGGTCACTTCTTCACGATTTCTATTCCCCCGCCACATACCCACGTATGTTTTCTCGCACGCGTTCACGCTTTCTTCATCTTGTCTGCGAGCCAAACTACCTTTCACTTGGCATCCGTGCTGCGGAAGTTCCTTGTAAACTTCCTTTGGAATCCACTTTTTTGGGGAGGGCGGGGTCTTGACCTGCAAGGTTCCATCGCTCGCGCACTGCTGCGCCTCGCCAAAGTAGTCCCCGGCTGCCAGCACGGCAATGATCACCTGGCGAAGGTCTCCAACCCAAGCTTCGACGATGGGAAACTGAGGTTGGCGTTAGGTGTGGAAGCCCGAAGAGAGCCTCGGTTCCGGTTGCCCTTGCAAATAGCTGCCGTCAAAATAAAATAGGGGGATGCCCTTTGAACAGTTATTTTCTCGAGGCTTTCTTGAAGGGTTCGTGGCCCAGTTTAAGCCAAAGGCCTAGGTAAACCAGGAGCTTGGGCGCCTGGGGCCTGACCCTGGCCCCTTCTGCCCGGGATGCCTCACCAAGCCTCTTCTACTCAGCTGAACGGCCCTGTTTACTCAGCCACTCAAACTACTCCGTGAGAAGCCCGTGAAAACTCGTGAAATTTCACGCTTTGAGCTAACTTGTCCTCAAGCTTGCGAAAGCCTTCCCTCCTGGAAGGACGGTTTGAAGTTTCAAGGCGTTGGATCGGAATTGTCCAAGCCCTTCCTTGGGTTTGGCCGATCTTCTACTTCCGGACGATTCTCAAATCAAATCAAAAACTGGAAAAAAACCTCCCATCAAAAGGGGGTGCTGCTGCGTCCCTTCAAGACTTTGTGCTTTGCGATGCTTGTTTGACTCTGAAAGCATCTGCCCCGCAAAACTTCATCCTTTTCAAAACCCAAGGGCCATCAACTTCAAATCCGGAAAGCATACACGGATCCCCGGGAAAGCAGGCCTCGTTGTCACCCAGCACATGCGCCTGGCGTCACGAGTCTTTCAATAACCCGCTGGCAGCAAGAAACAGAAACGGCACCTTTGTTCAAATCTCTGTCAAGGGTGGTTTGGAGCGGGTTTAGGGTGGTCTGGGGGCAGGTTTAGGCGGCTGCAGCAATAAGTCAAAAGAAGCGCCAACGTCAACTCACAAGCTGCAAAAAACACCAGAAGCCGCAAGCCACAGGACAAAGCAATCCTGCAAAACGAGAAGGATGGAAGCCGCAAACTGCCTCCACCTAAGTCTAACAAACGGCGCCACGGGTTGAGTTTCATTCCCCAAGTTGGAAAGGGGCAAAGCGGTTCTCTAGTTGAGGAAGACCTTCAAGCAGCGTCTTTGGTTTGCACGGGGGGTGGTTGGTTGGCCCCTTGCCAAGGAAGAAAGAATAAAGGCCAGTCAGTCATGGCTTTCCCCAGTCCACCCTTCACCCTCTCGCGCCTCGCCCTCCTGGATGACATAGAAGGCCTGGTGCACCCATGTCACTCAGCACATCAATTCAGCTCAAGGCCTTTGTTTGTTTTCAGCTTCCCGTCGCACGCAGCCACAAATCCTATTATCGATGAAGTATGGCTTGGGAGGGTCCTTATCTTACGCAACGTTTTTTGGACATCGCCCTTTGACACTCGAGGATTCTGGAAAAGGATGCGACAGTCGCAAGAAAACAGGCTGGGTGAATGAAGGCACAACGCCACGACCGCGACACAAATGCAACCGAGTACGGGTTCTTTCTTCTTCCAAGTCTTCACAAGTTGCAAGAGAGTTTCACGCAGATACCAAGGAGTTTCAGGACGAGTCCTGGCCAAGTTTCACAACTTTCACATGTCTGCCTTGCTTCACACCTGTGACCACTTAACCCCAAAGGGTGGAAGCCACACATAATGCAAGAGCCACCAAAATAGACGCAGGTGTCATGTCGCAGTGCTTCTTTGAAATGGCCCGCGCCCTCTGCTTGACTGCTCCGCGCTTGCAAAACTCATTTCTTCAACCATCCGGCATCTTTTGTGTCCACACCCGTCGCTCCGCAGTGTCTCTCTTTGTAAGCTTTGGACAGACCTGCCTTGGACATCAGCCCACACATGTGCCTTGCAAGAGCCTGGAAAATCCAAAGTAGCACAGACTTGGCCAGAACTCGCCTTGAAGCTCGTAAACTCGCGACACTCGTGAAGCTTGGAAGAAAAAAGACCCTTACGTATTTTTCGCCCAAGTTAACGCAAATACCAACGAGTTTCAGGGCGAGTTGTGGCCAAGTTTCACAACTTTCACTTCACACCTGTGGCCACCTAGATAACCCCAGACGGTGGATGCCCTAAATATTGCAAGCGCCACCAACGCACATGTTGACACTGCTTCTGTGGCATCGCCCGCTTCGCGCGAACGCCTCTCTCCGCCAGTTCCAACGCGGAAGCCGAGCGCGCGGCCCGTCTTCCGCGGCCCAATATGTTGAGGGGGGGCCGCAGGTGTCATGTCGCTGACTGTTCCGCACTTGCAAAATTTAGGGCTTAACCGCTCCCGCAGACTGTCCGTCGCATTTTGTGTCCGCGCCCGTCGCTCCGCAGTGTCTCTTGTCTGCGCGGGAGTTTGGAGAGACTTGCGTAGCGTCCAAAGTAGCACAGACATGTGAAGCTTGGTAATTTGCGTGAAACTCGTGAAACTTGGAAGAGCAATTAGTGTCCTTGTTTGACTGCTCCGTCTTTTGTGTCCGCGCCCGTCGGGAAGCCTTTGGAGAGACTTGCCTTGGACATCAGCCCGCACATGTGCAACCTGCGAGAACCTGGAGCGTCCAAAGTATCACTTGTGAAGCTTGGCCAGAAATCGCCTGAAACTCGTGAAGCTTGGAAGAAGAAACAGTAAAAGTTCTTCGTTCTTCCCAGTTTTCACCAGTTGCACGAGTTCCACGCAAAAACCAACAAAAAGTTTCATGACAAGCCCTGGCCAAGTTTCGCAATTTTCACATGTGCGAACTTCTTTGGAAGGCAAACCTTGAGACGGCCGTCGCAGCCTTGCCTCAGAAGGTGGAACCCCTAAGTATTGCAAGCGCCACCAAATATTGACACTGCTTTGTGGCACCCCTCCCGCAGTGACAAGGAGGAAGCCGAGCATGTCTCAATATGTTGCAAGTTCAACAGTCAGGGGAGGGGGCAGCAGGTCATGTCGCAGCGCTTCCTTTAGTGGACTGCGCCCTCTGTTTGGCTGCTCCGCACGTGCAGGTTTAGGGCACTTCGACAGAAGACGATTGAACCCCCGAGGCCGTGCGCCGAAGCTGTCGTTTATGGTTTTAGGAGGCCATGGCAACTGAGCTGAAGACAGTCTCCAAACCTTGATCTACCCGTGCGGTTTTGTGGCTACACTCAGCGTGCCTGGTATCGAACGAAGCTTTTGCGGCTTCTTCAAAAATCCATGTGGACAATGCTTTCTTTCGGGGTCTCAATTAAATCAACTCTTCCCAAGGCCAAGGGCGAGTTGATCTCCACAAGGCCAAGGGCTGGTGGCTTTGAGCTTAATCTACGGACCATATGTTGGGTTGGTTGTCGTTTGAGACGCTAGAGTGTCTTGCTTGTGGGGGCGTTTCTTGGTGCGTGCGCCGTCGTGCAGGGGGTTCCCCCTACCAGCCTTTCGGACCATCTTAGAGGTGGGTGGTCTACCATCACATCATCCGCATGGTCAAGGGGATAATTAAACTTACAGTATTGGCGCCGCAGAACATGGTCTCGTCTTGGCATTCTTGCGCGATGCAAGTTTCGTCGCACAAGGTATGCTCGTGCAAGAAGGAACGCAAGATCTCTACAACTTTCACTGTGTGCTTTCCCTACGCATGCCTCTACGCGTTTCACTGTCTACTTTCCCTGCGCGTGCCTCTACGCATTACACTGTCTACTTTCCCTGCGCATGCCTCTATGCGTTTCACTGTCTACTTCTCTTGCGCATGCATCTACGCGCATCCCTCAGTACTGGCCCTATGCGTGCCTCTATGTATTTCTGCCGACTTCCCTGCGCAGGCCTCTAGCATTTCATTGTCTACTTTCCCTGCGCGCGTATCTATGCATTTCACTCTGCGCTTGCCCTTATGCATGCCTCTACGCGTTTACTGTCTACTTTCCCTGCGCACGCCTTTATGCCTCACACTGTCTACTTTCCCTGCGCGTGCATCTACGCACATGCCTCCGTACTTGCCCTACGCGTGCCTGTATGCATTTCACTGTCTACGCGTTTGACTCTGTACTTCCCCTATGCATTTTACTGTGCCCTTTCCCTATGCATGCCTCTATGCGTTTGGGGGGGTAGCTCTGCCGAGTCCACAAGAACACAACAGCTTCGGACATGCTGCAAGTACTATATTTAGTATTGACAGCACTAAGTCCAGTATTGCAAGTAGTAATTTTAGCGTTGCCAATACGAAATTTAATATCACTGTATTGGGGTCGCCAGTGCTAAGTGTAGTAATGCCAGCACTACATCTAGTATTGCGGCTACTTAATTTAAGGTTTGGCGGTCCCGCGGGGAGATAGAAACTCTCCGGTCAAAAGTTTCTATCCTTGCGCAAGCCCTGTGTTTCAGGCCTTGCGGAAAGAAACTTTTGCTACGCCTCATGCCCCGGAAGAATCATATTATTTGCTAGCTTGTAGTCAAACTGGTATTGCAAGTACTAAATTGAATATTGCCAGGACTAAACTGAGCATTGCCAGTACTTATTTTTCCAGCGAGGATTTGAACGGTTTAATTTCCTTCCAAAAAAAAACACATTTTGGAATGTAAAGGGGGGCGGTAGCTCGGCGAGTTACACAACAGTTTCGGACAGAGCTTTGTTTGCAGTTCCGGGATCCACCAAGTTTCTTTGCGCAAGCCGCGTATTTGTCAAACCTTGCGGAAAGATAGAGACTTTTGCTACGGCTTATGGACCGAAAAAACAAACGATTTGCTTGCAAGGACTAAGTTGAGGATTGCCAATACTAAATTTAGTATTGCCAGTACTAAACCTAGTATTGCCAGTACTTAATTGTGTGTGTTCAGTACTAAATCTAGTATTGCCAGTATTGCCAGTATTAAATTGAGCCTTCTTACCAATATTGAATCTGTATTGCGAGTACTAAATTTGGTAGCCCAGAAAAGCCATATTATTTGCTTGCCTGTATTGAATTGCCAATACTCAATTTAGTATTGCTGGGACAAAATTGAGCATTGCCAGTACATTTTTAGTAGCGAGGATTTGGATTGCTTAAATTCTTTAGGAATGACTTTGAGCCTCTAGAAGCGGGGGCGTTGCTCTGCGAGTCCACAATGAACCCTCTGCAGATGTCTGGGTCCCACGCAAGAATACAACAGTTTCAGACAGAGCTTCGTTTGAGGAAAGAATTTAAAACGCGTCTATCTTTTTTTACGATTTCTGCGGTGCGCGCGCGACCCACTGCGGAGATTCGCGTGGTCGAGGTCAAAAAACTGGGGACTTTTTACGATTTCTGCGGTCCGCGTCGAGGTTCAAAAACTGTGGGCTTTTTACGATTTCCGCGGTCCGCGCGCGACCTTCTGCGGAGATCGTGCGCGTCGAAGCGCTCTCGCTGTGGCGCCGTGCGAATTTGTCTTAGTCTCGGCGAACCCTCTCGAAGCGCTCTCGCTGTGGCGCCGTGCTATTTTCTTGCTCGCGAGCCTTTGGAAGTTGTCTCGTGGTTTGCGCGCCTGCTTTCGCAATCCCGCGGTTGCGGGTTCGATTCCCCCCTGGTCCACGGCAGCTCCGGCTGGAAAATCGCAGCTTTTAAGTAAAAACGTAGTACGCGGAGCGTGCTCCTGCAGCTCCGGCTGGAAAATCGCAACTTTTAAGTGCAGACGTAGTATGCGGAGCGTGCTCCCGCAGCTCAGGCTGGAAAATCGCAACTTTTAAGTACAAACGTAGTACGCGGAGCACACCCCCGCAGCTCCGGCTGGAAAATCGCAACTTTTAAGTACAAAAAAAGTACGCGAAGTACATTCCCACAGCTCCGGCAGCACTTGCGCAGAGCAACTTGCGCAGAGTCACTTGCGCAGAGCAACTTGCGCAGAGCAACTTGCACAGAGCAATTGCACAAAGCACTTGCGCAGAGCAACTTGCACAGACCAACTTGCACAGAGCACATGCGCAAAGCGCTTGCACGGAGCAACTGGCGCAGAGCACTTGCGCAGAGCAACTTGCTCAGAGCACTTGCGCAGAGCAACTTGCACAGAGCACATGCGCAAAGCGCTTGCACGGAGCAACTGGCGCAGAGCAACTTGCACAGACCAACTTGCACAGAGCACATGCGCAAAGCGCTTGCAGCGCGCAACCGCAAAGCGCTTGCACGGAGCAACTGGCGCAGAGCACTTGCGCAGAGCAACTTGAGCACTTGCGCAGAGCAACTTGCACAGAGCACATGCGCAAAGCGCTTGCACGGAGCAACTGGCGCAGAGCATTGCTCAGAGCACTTGCGCAGAGCAACTTGCACAGAGCACATGCGCAAAGCGCTTGCACGGAGCAACTGGCGCAGAGCAACTTGCGCAGACCAACTTGCACAGAGCACATGCGCAAAGCGCTTGCACGGAGCAACTGGCGCAGAGCACTTGCGCAGAGCAACTTGCTCAGAGCACTTGCGCAGAGCAACTTGCTTGCGCGCTTGCGCAGAGCAAGCACTTGCGCAGAGCAACTTGCTTGCGCAGAGCAACTTGCACAGAGCACTTGCGTGCAGCAGCTTGCAGAGAGCAACTTGCGCGCAGCAGCCTGGAACAATGCAGCTTGCGCAGACCACTTTCGTGAGAAATCGCGCGGCGCGGTTCGAGAGGAAAATAGGATGATGAGATGGAGCTCTGATGCGACCATACACACTGAGCATGCCGCCCGCAGACACGCTCGCCGCAGCGATGTAAAAAGGTGTCTCCGCGGCTGGATGAGCACCTGGGAAAAATGCTTTCGGGCCAATTGTCCTCTAGTTTCAGAATAGAAACTTTTGCTACGACTCATGGCAAGGGAAAATGATTTTCTCGCTAAAATTAATACTGCCAGTGCCAAATTCAATATTGCCAACACAACATCTAATGTTGCAAGTACTTAGTTGTGTGTCCCCAGTACTGATTTACGGCCAGCACTTGCGGTTTGCCCCGGAGACTCTCTTCCGGGGTCACGCGCTCAGATTTAACCTCGCGCCTGCCAGCATTCTAGCACCCGCGCCTGATATCGAACTGTCTGCCTTTAGAACATCGGCAAGCCTTCGCCGACGCGCGCAACTGTGCAGGGCTTCGATGGGTCTCTATGTGCATTTTTTGGGACTACCCCAGGCTCAGCCAGAAGTGTGAAGGTGACAAGTGAAGCTCTTCACCCCCTAAAGTGAAGGTTCGGGGGGAAGTTAACCCCCGCACCAAACCAAGTTAAACCCTAAACTAAACTGGGGCTTGAAGGCAAGTGCAACCCACAACCCGAACCGTAAAGTGAGGTTGAGGGCAAACCCCGAAAAACTAAACCTTAAACGGGTGGCTTGAGGGTAAATGCAGTCCCTAAACCTAAACCTGAACCCAAGACTGAACCCTAAAGTGGGGGTCAGAGGGCAAGTTGAACCCCAAAACTAAACCCTGAACCGGTGGTTTGAGGGGTGGTTTGAGGGCAAGTTAAACACCAAAACCACACCCGAAAACCAAACCCTACACCCTAAACTAGACACCAAAACGGGGGTTTGAAGGCAAGCTAAACCAAAAACTAAACCCGGGGGGGGGGGTTGAGGGCAAGTAAAACCTAAACCTGAACCTTAAGTGGGCGCAAGTTAAGCCAAAGGCTGGAAAGGAGACCAGCAAGCGCACAAAAGTTGTTCTGGGCGAACCACACGGATCACTTTTCCCGCTGGGAGACTCGCAACACTAAAGTACTCTACGAGGCATCGTTTCCACAAGCTTTTCTATCTTTGTGCAAGACCCCCCCTTTCCGAAATTGCTTCCCAGACGCTCGAGCTTTTCCATCTTTCCGAGGATGGTTACAATGACAAGTGGACTACGTGCGTGGTTGCCCCGCCCTGCTGTAGCGCAAACAAGTGTGACAGTGCGGAGGCCTCTTTCATGGCGCCACAATCTCTTGTTTGTAGCAAAATGGAAGGGCAACCGCCGGACGCACAAGATAAACATATCATACTGCGCGGTCCACATGCAAAGCAAATACTAGGGCACACGTGCAGCCAAGCCAAGCCACAAAGTGTCACGAAACAATCAAATTTGTACAAAACACATTGGACTTCACCACCGGTCTACACGTGGTCCAACTACAAGTCACAATTGCATGAGCCGTGAGCGAAACACACTCCAGGCTCCATTTCCCAATAGGTTTTCAGCGCCGTCTTGTCCTTAAAATAGAAACCTTACTTTGATGGCCATCGTGTTGGGGGCGCTTCCGACACGCCCAAAGAATCAATCTTGCCGGGGACAGGGCCCTCTTTCGTTCCCCAATATCAGCCCAGCAAAAAAAACTCACCAAAAGCTGAAGTCATGTTCAAACTGGACTGAAAAGGGAAATATGGATTGTCTCAATATGAGGCCATCCCAAAGTCGTGACTTTCACTTCGCCACGACAAGCGACCTCGGCAGGCTCGCCCTTGCGGAACAGGATTTCTCCTGCAGGCAGGGCTGTTTATCCTTTAGCCACTTGTTCAAGTAGGTTGGTGGCCCTAACATGGTGGCCCTAACACAGCGGCCCTCCTTTTTGTGCACCTTTACAAACAATTCAAAATGTGTAAGTCTGTGTTGCGATAACATGCTCATTTACGTTTCCCTTGCAAGGGGAACGGGCTGACAATTCGCGCTGTTCCTCTCATGGCGCCAGCGCAAGGTTTTGCCCCAGGCACCTGCCTCTGGGTGTGTGCGTGTGCAGTGTATCTGAGTGTGTCCGTGTGTCCGTGTGTGTCCGTGTGTGTGTGTGTCGTGCGCTTTTTGTGTGTGTGTGTTGTGTTTGTGTTGTGTGTGTGTGTCGTGCGCGTGTGTGTTGTGTGTGTTGTGTGTGTGTGTGTGGTGTGTGCGTGTGTGTTGTGCGTGTGGTGCGCAGTGCGAATGTTGTGTGTGTGTGTGCGTGTGTGCGTGTGTGTGTCTGTGTGTCTGTGTCTCTGCGTCTGGGTGTGTGTGTGTGCGTGTGCGCGCATGAGTGCGTGAGAGAGAGAGAGAGTGTGTGTGTGTGTGTGTGTGTGTGCGTGTGTCTGTTGTGCCTGTGTTGCGCGTGTGTTGCATGCGTGTTTTGTGTGTGTTGTGTGTGCGTTGCGTGTGTGTGTGTGGGCACTGCGTGTTGGTTGTGTTGTGTGTGTTGTTGTTATTGATATTGATATTGATATTGTTATTGTTATTGTTGTTGTTGTTGCTGTTGTTGTGTGTCTGTGGGCCGTGTGTGTGTTTTGCGTGTGTTGTGTGTCTGTCGTGTGTGTGTGTGTTGCGTGTGTGTTGTGTGTTGCGCGTGTGTTGCGTTGTGTTGTGTTGCGGTGTGTTGCGCTTTGTTGTGTTGTGTGTGTGCGTTCGTGCGTGCGCGTCTATGTATGTTTGTATGTATGTATGTATGTATGTATGTATGTATGTGTGTATGTGTGTGTTTGTGTTTGCCTGTGCGTGTGTGTGCGTGGGTCTGTGTGTGTGTGCCTATTGTGCGTGTTTGTGGCTGTTTGTGCGTTTGGGTGTGTGTGTGGGTGTTTTTGCCTTTGTGCGTTTGTTTGTGAATTTGGTTGTTTCTTAGTGGTTTGTGTGTGCGTGCCTTTGCCCGCGTCTATATTTGTGTGTTGGTGTGTGTGTGTGTGGGCGCTTGTGGGGTTGTGCGCTTGTGTGGGCTTGTGTGTTTGTGTGTTGCAGCGATTGTCATTTTGCGTTTGTGTGTTTTGTCTTTTGGGGAACTGTGTTGGTGTGTGCTTCTGTGTTGGTGCGCTTGTGTGTTTGTGTCAGCGCTTATGTGTTTGTGTGTCTGTGTTGTTTGCGCTTGTGTGCATTTGAGTGTAGGTTTGTGTTTTGCTTTGGTTGTGCGTTGGTGTGTGCTGTTTTTGGTGTTACTTCTGTGTGTGTGGCATTGTGTTCTTATGTTTTTGTGGTTTCTGTGAGTTCGAGCGGCGTGTGTGTGTGTGTGTGGTGTGTGTGTGTGTTTCTGTGCTTCTGTGTTTCTGTGTTTCTGTGTTTCTGTGTGTGTGTGTGCGTGTGCGTGTGCGCGTGGGCGTGGGCGTGCGCGTGCGCGTGTGCGTGCGTGCATGCGTGCGTGCGTGTGCGTGTGCGTGTGCGTGTGCGCGCGTGTGTGTGCGTGTGTGTGTGTGTCTCTATGTTTCTGTGTCTCTGCAAATGGGTGTGTGCGTGCATGAGTGCGTGAGTGTGTGTGTGTGTGTGTGTGTGCGTGTCTGCGTGCCTGCGTGTTTGCACGTGCGCGTGCGCGTGCGAGTTCGCGCGCGCGTGCAGACGCAGGGGCGCGTGCGGGCGGACGCGGGCGCGGGTGCGAGCGCAAGTGCGCGTGTGTGCGTGCGCGCGTGGGAGTGGCGGGCGTGTGGGCACGCGGGCGTGTGGTGTGGGCGTGTGGGCGTGTGGGCGTGCGGGCGTGCGGGCGTGCGTGCGGGGGCTAGTGCGGGCGCGTGTGCATGTGGTTGTGGGTGTGTGTAGGTGTCTGCGTGCGTGCGCGCGTGTGTGGGTGGGTGGGTGGGTGGGTGGGTGGGTGGGTGGGTGGGTGGGTGGGTGGGTGGGTGGGTGGGTGGGTGGGTGGGTGGGTGGGTGGGTGGGTGGGTGGGTGGGTGGGTGGGTGGGTGGGTGGGTGGGTGGGTGGGTGGGTGGGTGGGTGGGTGGGTGGGTGGGTGGGTGGGTGGGTGGGTGGGTGGGTGGGTGGGTGGGTGGGTGGGTGGGTGGGTGGGTGGGTGTGGGTGGGTGGGTGTGGGTGTGGGTGTGGTGTGGGGTGGGGGGGTGGGGTGGGGTGGGGATGGGGTGGGGGTGGGTGGGTGGGTGGGTGGGTGGGTGGGTGGGTGGGTGGGTGGGTGGGTGGGTGGGCGCGCGTGCGTGCGCGCGTGGGTGCGCGTGGGTGCGCGCCGGTAAAAGTTGGTAAGCGTGGGTACTCGTGGGCACGTGTGGGTGCGCGTGGGTGCGTGTGGGTGCGCGTGGGTGCGCGTGGGTGGGTGGGTGCGCGTGGGTGCGCGTGGGTGCGCGTGCGTGGGTGTGCGTGGGTGTGGGTGCGTGGGTGCGTGGGTGCGTGGGTGCGTGGGTGCGTGGGCGCGTGGGTGCGTGAGTGCGTGCGTGCGTGCGCGTGGGTGTGCGTGGGTGTGCGTGGGTGTGCGTGGGTGTGTGTGTGTGTGGGTGTGTGGGTGTGTGTGGGTGTGTGTGGGTGTGTGTGGGTGTGTGGGGGTGTGGGGGTGTGTGGGGGTGTGGGTGTGTGGGTGTGTGGGTGTGTGGGTGTGTGTGGGTGTGTGTGTGTGGGTGTGTGTGTGTGTGGGTGTGCGTGTGCGTGTGCGTGTGCGTGTGCGTGTGCGTGTGCGTGTGCGTTCGCCTGCGCGTGCGCGTGCGCGTGCGCGAGCGCGGGCGCGGGCGCTGGCGCGGAGGCGTGCGTGCGTGCGTGCGTGCGTGCGTGCGTGCTGCGAGCGGGCGGGCGGCGGGGCGAAGCGTTGCGGCTGCGTGCGTGCGTGCGTGGGGGTGTGGTGGGTGGTGTGGGTGTGTGGGTGTGTGGGTGTGTGGGTGTGTGGGTGTGGGGCGCGTCGGGCTGTGGCGTGTGGCGGGGGCGAGTGGGCGTGTGGCCGTGTGGCGTGTGGGCTGGGGGTGTGGGGGTGTAGGTGGTGGTTTGTGTGTGTGCGTGTGTGGGTGTGTGGGTGTGTGGTTGTGTGGTGTGTGGGTGTGTGGGTGTGGGGTGTGTGGGTGTTGGGTGTGTGGGTGTGTGGGTGTGTGGTGTGTGGGTGTGTGGTGTGTGGGTGTGTGGGTGGTGTGGGTGTGTGGGTTGTGGGTGTGTGGGTGATGGGTGTGTGGGGTGTGTTGGTGTGTGGGTGTGTGGTGTGGTGTGTGTGTGTGTGGGTGTGTGGTGAGTGGGTGTGTGTGTTGGGTGTGTGGGTGTGTGGGGTGTGGTGTGTGGGAGTGAGGGTGTGAGGGTGTGGGGGTGTGTGGTGTGTGTGTGTGGGTGTGTGGGTGTGTGGGTGTGTGGGTGTGTGGGTGTGTGGGTGGGTGTGGGTTGTGGGTTGTGGGGTGTGTGGGGTGTGGGTGTGTGGGTGTGGGGGTTGTGCGGGTTGCGGGTGTGCGGGTGTGCGGGTGTGTGCGGGTGTGCGGGTTGTAGCGGGGTGTGCGGGTGGCGGGTGTGTGCGGGGTCGTGCGGTGTGCGGTGTGCGGTGTGCGTGTGCGGGTGTGCGGGTGGTGCGGGTGTGCGGGTGGTGGCGGGTGTGCGGGTGTGCGGGTGGTGCGGTGGTGCCGGGTGTGCGGGTGTGCGGTGTGCGGGTGTGTGGGTGTTGGGTGTGTGGGTGTTGGTGTGGGGTTGTGTGGGTGTGGGTGGGTGGTGCGTTGGCGTGTGCGCGTGTGCGTGTGGCGTGTGGCGTGTGCGTGTGCGTGTGCGTGTCGTGTGCGTGTGCGTGTGCGTGTGCGTGTGCGTGTGCGTGTGCGTGTGCGTGTGCGTGTGCGTGTGCGTGTGCGTGTGCGTGTGCGTGTGCGTGTGCGTGTGCGCGTGTGCGTGTGCGTGTGCGTGTGCGTGTGCGTGTGCGTGTGCGTGCGTGCGTGTGCGTGCGTGCGGTGTGCGTGGCCGTGTGCGTGTGCGTGTGCGTGTGCGTGTGCGTGCGTGTGCGTGGGCGTGTGGCGTGTGTGTGCGTGCTGGTGCGTGTGGCTGTGGCGTGTGCGAGTGTGTGCGTGTGCGTGTGCGTGTGCGTGTGCGTGTGTGTGTGTGTGTGTGTGTGTGTGTGTGTGTGTGTGTGTGTGTGTGTGTGTGTGTGTGTGTGTGTGTGTGTGTGTGTGTGTGTGTGTGTGTGTGTGTGTGTGTGTGTGTGTGTGTGTGTGTGTGTGGGTGGTTGTGGTGTGTGGGTGTGTGGGTGTGTGGGTGTGTGGGTGGGTGGGGTGTGTGGGTGTGGTGGGTGTGTGGTGTGTGGTGTGTGTTGGGTGTGGGTGTTGGGTGTGGGGTTTGGGAGTGGGTGTGGGTGTGCTTGTGCGTGTGCGAGTGACGTGTGCGTGTCTGTGGGTGTGGGTGTGGGTGGTGGGTGTGGTGTGGGTGTGGGTCTTAGAAAAAACAAAAAATAAAAAAAAAAAAAAAAAAAAAAATAAAAAAAAACACAAAAAAAAAAAAAAAAAACAAAAAAAAAAAAAAAAAAAAAAAAAAAAAAAAACAAAAAAAAAAAAAAAAAATAACAAAAAAAAAAAAAAAAAAAACAAAATAAAAAAAAAAAAAAAAAAAAAAAAAAAAAAAACAACACAAAAAAAAAAAAAAAAAAAAAAAAAAACAAAAATAAAAAAAAAAAAAAATAAACAAAAAAAAAACAAAAAAAAAAAAAAAAAAAAAAAAAAAAAAAAAAAAAAAAAAAAAACCAAACAAAAAAAAAAAAAAAAAACAAACAAAAAAAAAAAAAAAAAAAAAAAAAAAAAAAAACAAAAAAAAAAACAAAAAAAACAAGTGTGGGTGTGTGTGTGTGTGTGTGTGTGGGTGTGGGTGTGGGTGTGGGTGTGGGTGTGGGTGTGGGTGTGCGTGTGCGTGTGCGTGTGCGTGTGCGTGTGCGTGTGGGTGTGGGTGTGGGTGTGGGTGTGGGTGTGGGTGTGGGGTCTTAGAAAAGACACCAAATTTTGGAGCCGCACGCGCGGAGCTATGTGTTCATTCTTCACTCAACCGGAAGGCTCAAATCTGCAGGAAACTGTGCAACATTCATGACACAGCGTTCCGGCCATTGAGGGGGAGAAACGGCTGCGGCAGGCGGTCATTTGATCACGCTATAACTTCCAGCTCCAGCTCGGAAATCACCACTGCTCGGCGCTGCTCAGCGCTGGTCGGCCTGCTCGGCCCGGCCCTGCTCAAAGGAGCGGACTTTTTCCTACGACCGCTTTGCAAGCACAACCGGTTCCCCTGTCAAATGGGACAACGGCCGTCAACCGATTTGGCAACCCGCGGCACAACTGCTCCTGGCTGAAAGTAAGCCTTCTGGAAGGCCCCGGCCAGCAAGGGCCTACAGGCGGACCCTCCAACAACGGTTGGTCGGAGTCTAAGAGGTAACAAGCTCACAAGATCTGTGAAACTAGCTTGTTGGCTAACAAGCTGGCTGGCTGACTGGCTAACGAAGGGACACGCGAACTGGCCCTCTCCTCGCCAACCAAGCAACTAGCTGCCCAACTTGGCCGGTCAACTAATCAAATAGCCAGCTCACCAGCCAACTAGCCACTCGCTAAGTTAACAAACTAAACCAACTCCCAGCTGGCTTGCTGGCCAGCTAACAAATTATTTAGCTAACGATTGAACTCGCCAAGTAGCTGGCTAGTCAGTTAATTCGCCGACTCGCTAACTAGCTAGCAAGCCAACTAGCATGCGCTAGAATAGGAATCGCAGAAAAAGGTGCGCCAGCATGCGCTTGCTTTGACAAACATCCACCATACTTGCTCATTCTTATTTGACAGTTTCGCCCCGGTTTCGCCAGCTATACTGCGCTGATAGAGAGTGCTGAAAGTGGGAGCCCCGGGTTGGTTGATGTCAACCTCAGGTTAATCGAAAGCAGGATCAAATATGCATCAGGGGGCCCATGTGTTTTGGGCTGGGCGAATCATTGTCCGCTGGATTTTTCCCAATGGTGGGTTGTTACAAAGTTCTCAACCTGGGATTGCGCCCCCGTTTTCCTTTTGGAACAACGGCGCCAACTTTACAAAACACACACGCAACTGCTTATACTCTCGAGGCCGCATGGTTGATCCCTGTCGGGTCTTTTTGTTGGGTTTAGGCCGGTCTGGAAGCGATTGACCTCATCGAGGTTGGGGGTCGCTTCATTGGGGGTGTGAATGTTAACTTTAATGGGTCCCGGACCATTCCAGTTTAGACAATTAATTCACACAGTTGGTGTGCCCCGTGTTGTCAACCTTCAACAGGAGATCCTTTCAATTGAGATCTCTATTTCGGTCGCGATCCAAAACGAAACCGGACTTTATTCTGGCTCGCTGCCAAGTAGACGGGCCGAACAAAGTCCACACATTTTGTTTGCCACCAAAATGGTCCCGACACCGGAGTGAGTTGGAAGTGCTTTGAGAGCCCGCCAGGCGCAGGGCAGCTCGCACCGTTCCAGGCGCCGGAAAACGGGCACGCCCGCCAGCCAGGCCAATCCGTCAGCCTCACACGGAAATCAAAATGAAAATCTAAAATCGCGGCGTGATCCTTGCACTCCAACTTTCTATGATCCATTTCGAACAGCGAAAAAGGTGGGCGTCACCGGGAACAAACCAAGCCTGTTGGTTTTGACGGCCATGCCGGCTTCCACTCGATATGCTAAGAGCCATGGCACAAGACCCCACCTGAAGTCTGAGCTGAAGCCCAAACAAACAGGACCGATGACTAGGCCCCGCTTGCTTCAAGGGGCAGTACCCAAACTGGCAACAGAAACACAAGTTGGGGCCTTTCCAACAGGAGGGGCCTTGGAAAAGTATCACTCGCGTCGGACCCTCCAACCAAACAAGCCTCTCTCTAAAGAGAACCCCAAATGAGGGGGTCGTCAAAAGAAACACACCCACATGGGCTCAAGGGCATGCTGCGCCAACCCCGTCGCTTCTCTGGAGGTCCTACCTGTAAATGAGGGGTCCACGTTTGAGGGCTGTTCAGGCAAAAAGGTCCCGATTCCAGACTCTGGCGCCGATTTATTCTCCACTTTCAGGCGGGTCGCAAAAGGAGCACAAAAAAGATATCCCCTGTTTGAACCGCTTTGTTTGTTGGAAAGTTGCAGGAGAAACCAGATCGCGAAGTCCGCGGATGGGTCCCCTTCAAAGGACAGCTGAAGGATGTGAACCCCTGAACTGTGCGGTTTCTGTTTGGCAGTGGTTTCCTTTCAAACATATGGCTATAGCAAGCGTATGGAAAACACAAGACTGCCCCTGGCTGCAATGAATGATGTGCGTCGTACTCCCTGTAGCGGACGCTCGGCCAACGTCGCTTCCGCGCCGCGCCAGCGACTCGCTTTTTCTCTCGCTTGTCCACGCAACGCGCAATTGATGTGGCCACACTTCCCAGTCGGCCTCACTTTGTGAGGCCTTTGAACTCTTGCCATCCAGATGCAAGCCGCGCCCTGCCTGAACTGATTGAAATTGACGGCAAAGTGTGTCAAATGAACCCACCAGTTGTGTTACCCGCCTGTCGCCTGCCCGCTGTCCTTCGAATATGTCGGTCATCCACTGTCATAAGATCCCCTCGCGCTGGCTGTGTGAAGCTGGCAGGCTTTTCATTGGCAAAACGAAGTGAGCCTGCCAGCCCAATGCCCGAATAACGTAGACAACCCCAGGATTTGAGATTGAGACTCCACGGATAGTTTACAGACGGTTGCAAACCACAGGTGGGATCGATCACTTGCCCGAACCCTATGGCTTGGCCGCGTTGCAGGTTGGAACAGGCGGCAGAGACACGCGCTCCGTTGATCAACAAACGGTCTAGAGGATTCTCCATCCAAGAAGCCCAAGGAGCCCAAGCCCCTTTTTCGCTCGACAAAAAATCTGAACCCATCACGCCGTCGGGACCTGGCCGGGCTTGCGGGTGTCCAGATTCCCCCATAAGTATTTTGTTGTTTGGGGGAAGGGTTGTTTCGAGGGTGCCCTTTTCAGGGTTTGCAGGGAAACGGAAAACCACTATTTTGTGGTCCCTGAACGGGACCATATTTCCATTTTGGGACCCGTTGGAGCTTTGTTTGGGGGGCCAATGGAGTGCAAACAAACAATCAGGTTCCTTTCAAAGTGCGGAAGCCGTTAAAGTGGTGTGGGCCGAGACGTTAGGCCTTTTTGGGGCAGTGGCACCCTTGACAGACCTCCTGCTGGACTTCAAATTCCAAATGCCCAACATGGGCGTTGGTTCTCATTTGGTTTCGTTTTATCCGAAAAAAGGCAGGAAAAACACAAACCACCCAAACAGGGCACCATCAAGTGGTGAGAAGAAGCAAAGGGGAATGAATTGTGTGAAACATCCTTTATGGCTTCCTTCGCAGACCCCGAAGTAATTGAAAACCTGGGTGCGCCTCGGCCCCTCTTGCCGGCTCTGGCGGCCTGGGCGGCTCGGGACGTCCCGTTTTCTCAGAAAGTCTGCGCGTGTGCATGTCTGTGTGTCTGGGGGTTGTGTTGTGACGCGTTGCGTTGCATTGCGTTGCGCTGTGTTGTGTTACGTTGTGTTGTGTTGCGCTGCGTTGCGTTCGTTGTGTTGCGCTGCGTTGCGGGGTGTTGCGTTGTTGCGCGTTTTGCGTTGTGTTCTGTTGCGCTGCGTTGTCGTGCGCTGCCTGCGGTTTGTTGCATTATGTTGTGTTGAGTTGTGTTGCGTTGCGCCGTGTTGTGTTGCGCTGTGTTTTGTCGTGTTGCGTCGCGTTGCGCCGTGTTGCGTGTGATGCGTTGCGTTGGGTTGCGTTGCGTTTTGTTGCGTTGCGTTGCGTCGTGTTGTGTTGCGTTGTGTTGCGGTGCGCTGTGTTGCATCCTGTAGTGTGGGTTGTGTTGGGTTGCGTTGCGTTTTGTTGTGTTGTGATAGGTTGCGTTGCGTTTGTCGCATTGCGCTGTCTCGTGTTATTGCTGCGTTGCGCTCTGTTGCGTTGCGCGGGTTTTGCTATGCTCTGTTGAATTGCGTTGCGTTGTGTTACCATGCGTTGAATTGTGTTGCGTCGTGTTGCGCTGTGGCGCGTTGCGTCGTGCCGCGTTTCGCTAGGCTTTGTGTTGGGTTGCGTTGCGCTGCGGTGTGTTGCGGTGCGTTGTCTTGCGCTGCGTTTTGCGATGTGTTATGTTGTGTTGCGTTGCGTCGCGTTGCGCTGCGCTTTGTGTTGTGTTGTGTTGCGGCGCACTGCGTTGCGTTGCGCTGTTTTGCGTTGCGTTGTGTCGCGCTGCGTTGTGTTACGTTGCGCTGCGATGTGTCGCGCTGAGTTTTGTGCTGTGTTGCGCTGCGTTGTGTTGCGTGCGTTGCGTTACGTTGTGTTGTGTTGCGTTGTGTTGTGTTGCGCTGTGTTGTGGTGTGATGTGTTGTGTTTGTGTTGTGTGGTCTGTGTGGTGTTGCGTTGCGTTGCGTTGTGTTGCGTTGTGTTGTGTGCTTCCTTGCGAGCTGTCTGGGAATTTGCGATCTTACGTGTTTGTACCTGCGTGTGTGTTTTCGCGATTGCCTGTGGGTGCGTTTGCGGTGTGCGCGGGCGCTTGCGTGTGGGAGTGTTTGTGCGCGTTCCTTTGTTTGTGTCTGCGCGTGTGCTTGTTTGTGTGTGTGATTGCCTGTTTGTTTATTTGTTTCTTTGTTTGTTTGTTTTGTTTGTTTGTTTGCTAGGTTGGTTGTTTGGTTTTTGTTTGGTTGTTTGTGTGTCTATTTGTTTGTTTGTGTGCGTGTGGCGCGTTTGTCCGCCTGTGTGTGTGTTTGTGTCTGTGTGTCGGTGTGTGCGTGTGTGTTTGTGCGCGTGTGCCATTGCGAGTCTGTGTGTGTGTTCGTCCGCCGGTGTGCGTTTTTGTCTGTGTGTAGGTGTGTGTGTGTGTGCTTGTGCGTGTGTGTGCCATTGTTTGTGCGAGCGTGCTGTGTGAGCCCTTCTGCATTTGTGCGTTGGTATCTGTGTGGTTGTGGTGTTGCGCGTGTCTGTGTGTGCGCGTGCGCGCGCGTGTGTGTGTGTGTGTGTGTGTGCGCGTGTGTCTTTGTGTGGGTGCTGTGCGTGTGTGTGTTTGTGTTTGTTTATTTGTGCGTCTGCGGGTGTGAGGGTGTTTGTTTGTGCGTGGGCGTTGTGTGCATTCGTGTGTGTGTTTGTGTTTGTGGGTGATGTGTTGTGTTGCATTGCGCTGTGACGTGTTGCGATGTTCTTTAGGCCCCTCCTCTTGAGATGCCTCCTCTGTGGTTCCCCCTCTTTAGGTTTCTCTTCTTTAGGCCCCTCCTTTGGCTGCTGTGGCTGCGTGGGCTCTGCCTGCTCCGTTTGGTTCTTGCCTTGTGTGTTGCCCATCTTCTTCGTGTCTTGTGTGTGTTCCATCTTGTTCTTGTCTTGCACTGCCGGCTCTTGTTCCCTGCATTCCATCCGTGTTGTTCTTGAGCACTCCCTCCCTGCCAGAGGTTTCCACTACAGGTGGAAATTGGTTCCTTCTTGAGAAATTGAGGGTATATTGTTGGAATACCAATGGTTGGTTGTACCACCTCCGCTCCCGGCCTGCAATGCTGCAATGCCCCCGTGCAAGTAATGGAGCCGCAAATGGTGCGCGGTCGCGGTTGTTTTCTACCTGGCGCCGAAAACCGTGTTGCCACGGTTAACAGTCTTGAGCCTTGAGCCACGTTGGGTGGCGACGCTCTGGGAACGCAACACTGCCCACACCCCCCATGCGGCGATGCTCATATAGAGCTTCCCGAGCGGTGGCCAACATGTGATCCCTATCAACAGTGGCATTTCCTACCCGACTACTTTGAGAAGCCGCACTTGTTCTCCTCTTTCTGCAATTCATATTAAGCACGCCCCGCATGCTACGTTGCACAGGATGTAAGTGCGAATGGAGTGAAATTGATACACACCCTGCTGCCGCAGACCCGTGTAGAACGTTGAACGGATACATTATATCAGCAGCCCATGCAAATATTTGGAACGAAATTGCTAATAAGCATAGTGACTCTGGTAAGCCGGAGACAGGAAATTTGTAGTAACTCAGGCAAGCGGCAGTGGTGGAGCCCGTGATGCTTTTGCGAATGGAGCAGCGCGTGGAGGAGCTCTACTCGCAAGGTGATGACCGATGGCAAGCGCTTTTGGCTGGTTGCTGTGCGGGGGGGTGCTCCGCCATAAGCATGTGACCCGTGCCGGTTCGCAAGGTCACCCATAGGGGCAAGCAGCAGCGGCAGCGCAAAGACAGTTCGTCGCGGTCGCGAACGTCCCCCGTCCGCCTTACCCTGTCTGGCGACGTTGGTTGACTTTCCCTTGCCCCTGGAACTTGCTGGTCAATTCATCCTGATGACCCGACGCTGAAGCTCGTTCTTTTTCACTATCTTCCCCTTTTCACGCTCATGATCAGAGCCGAGAGTCTTCGGGGTTGTGCGCTCTTGCTCGCCACGCCACAGTGGAGATTGCCCTGTGGCCTTTGGTGGGGCTGCAGGCCCCTTGGCCTTTGCACGGCCCCCCGCAGCAGGTTCAGCTTGGATGGCGGTGTTGCCAACTGCAAGCCGAATCTTCGTCGCCACCCTCTCTCAAAGTCCTTGAACAAGATAGCGGTGGGCCGATAGTATTCGTCGACCGGAGGCAACACTTTCAAGTTCTTGAGAATCACCGTAACCAGGGCCAGCGCGCCAAATGTAGCTTCAGGAAGTGGATCAACTCACCGAGCCCCCTTGTTTCTTGTCGCGCCGGTGTTCGCGCTCATCACGAGTCGGCATCCATGCCTTCCCCATCGTCTCCGGTCCCATGCCTTCCCTGCCCATACCTCTTGTGACCTTCGGACTCGGCTGTCTCAATGACCTCTCCTTCTTCTTCACCTGCGGCCGCATCGGCCTTTTTGCGAGGTTCTCTCTTGATTTCTTCCACATCGTTGTTGACCGCTTCTTCCTTTGCCGAGGCGTTTTGCCGCGTCTCCCGTGGCTGGACAAACATGATCACTCCGTGCGTGTGTAAGTACCCTTCGCAGATCATGCAGTATGTGAATGAAGCAGGCGTGTAATTCCAACATGTTGGGCAAACTCGAGTCGCTTGCGAAAGTTGGACATTGCCCTATTGTACTCCTCGTTGCCCTTGACGGACTCGAATAGCCCTTCGTGCTCTATCATCCGGGACGCGACTTCCATGGGCCGAGCCGTATCAGCAACTGTCCGTCAAACGGCACAATCGGGACACAGCTCATGTGCGAAATCTGGACTCGCCACTATAGGGTCCTTCTTGCCCCGTCAGCCGCTACGCAGCTGATCTGAAAGTAATGATGCCTCCAGCAGTTTGTGTGGCATTGGCGACTGCTCGCAGAACCCCTTCACACGCCTAGGACCCCACGGAGCGAAGAGGTTGAAAATCCTCGCCATGCTGGTGGTTGACCGTTGTGATACCTAGTTCACGATGTCTTCAAGCTCCTCTGCTCTAATGGAAAAATAGCATCCATCTGTGAATTTCGCAATTCACTGTTGATGGGCCAGAGGTGCGTCGCAGCATCTTGGAAAAGAAACGATGGCTGATGGTATGTTGCGCAATTGGCCACAGGTTACACCATCGCACAAATCTCGACGTTCCGCTCTCTCGGATTTCTTTGTGCATGAGTTCCACACAAACCAATGCCAGCCCCCGAACGTTCCGGATTTCCACTGTCCCCATGTAACCCTTTATGCGCCGGTGGCTCGTGAGCTCCAACAATTTGACCCAGCCCGCCTCATCGCATCTCACTCTGCTCCTGCGATTGTCAATGCCCCGCTCGCTAGTGGGGTGTCCAATTCTGTGACGCGAATACTTTGCTAGCTCGTTTGGGAATCCAAGCAAGTCATCAGAATGCAATTCATCGAGGGCATCTTTCGGGGTTCTAGAGTCATCATCCGCAATATCACACAACACTCCTGCGCCTGCCAAATTTGATTTCTACGTTGTGTTTCAGCAACGAAGGAGCAGCCCTCCACAGGATTTGCGTTGTCAGGATCCGGCAGACGTCTGAACTTCAGGGTCGGGTTCCGGGGGAGTCTGTCCCTTCACTGACGACTGTAATCAACGCATCTCCCTGCTTACAATCCCTGCGGACAATTTCCACCCCACGGATAGCGCCGACGCAACTCTTTTGCGTGGCGTGGATGCTTCAGGCTTCTCCTCCACTTCCATGTCTTTGGGGCCCGTGGAACCAGCGAGCGGGCGGGCCCTCGCTTTCCCGTGCTCCAACCCTGGGGTTGAGACCTGCCATAGTCCGGAGCGCGGGGAAGACTTCTCCCGTCCGGCTTGGCTCATCCCCAAGTCTTCATTTGTGTAGCACGCCCATGTCAGTGGTCTTGGCGGAAATACCGATGTCATCAAGCACCACTCCGCGATTGAACGATCCATAGACCATTCGCAGGGCGCTGAAAGACTGGCCATGCAACACGCGTGCTGTCCTTGGAATTGACCCCGCTT